CAAAGGAGGGAGAGAACCAATGCCTTCCTTGTTACCATTGGTGATCTGTGTGAGGGGGTAGAGAAAGCGATGATGGCAAGAAAACCAGTACGAGGGGCAGCGATGATCTGCTACCTCCCCTTCCCCGTTCGAACCCAGAAGCAGAGCAGCGGTGATGGCTGCCCCTCTCAACCACTCCCTTCCTCCCTCTCTCCTTTCTTCTTCTCTTTCTTCTTCTCTCGTTCATCGTCTAGTACCTCCCCTTCCCCGTTCGAACCCAGAAGCAGAGCAGCGACGATAGTGACCAGGATCATTTACCCTCTAGTACCTCTCCGTTCAACGTCTTCGCCTTTCGCCGGTGAACTATTGTCTCTGGCAGCATTATTCGCTTTCCAATGGTGACTAACAACACTGTTCATCGTTTTCGCTTTCGGCCGACAAACTAATGTTCGTTTTACTCTTATTGGTGAAATAGTGCTTTTCTCATTATTTTTCTATATATAGAACTAAACATTGGAAATATAAATTTTTATATTTTCCCATTTTATCCCATGTCATCCCACCCAACTCTTCCCACAAATCAAACGTAGCCTTATAGGATTGAAAGCTGCTTCATAGTATTCTAGGAATGGAGGTCGGAGTGGAGTTGATTTCAGGAATTGCGAAGAGGGTAATTTCTCGAGAACTGGGAATAGTAATTCAACCAGGGTGGTGGATGATGTGGCAAACCACCATGAGCCAAATAGGTCGGTGCAGTCTGCGCCTCTAGAAGCTGTGAGTACTGGTCTTAATCATGAGCAGCAGATCTTTAGTCAGGCTCAGAAAATTCTCAAAATGCTTCATCAAATCCGGGTATGGTTAAGGGTTCGTACCCAGGGCTGGATAGAGGTTCGGATCCGAATCCTCAAAGGTTGAGTCATGGACCTAATTAACGACCTCTTCTTCTGGAAGGCAGGGAATTATAGAATTAGAGAATTAGGTCAGGGAAGTAGGGAAGTTCAGAGTTCTAGAGTGGAGTATTAGGGGCCAGGGAATTAGAATTCTCAGGTACACTTTACTCTCAAATATTCTTCATCAATAAATAGGGTTGCTCATGAATTAACTGAGATCTCTAAATCTTTGGATATGTAGGAACGATGTGTTGGAGGAACAGCCCCCTGTATGTATTGAACCATTAGTTTTTCCCTTTTAATGTATACTATAGTTCTTTTATCTATCAAAAAAAAAAAAAGAAAAAACACTAAAAAGATCGGACACACGAATATCAACAGCTTACGAATACATACATGGCACTGCATATATTGGCTATTCTAACATACAAATCAAGCTATGCACGTCCCTATAACTGAAAGAAGACATTCATATAAATGGCCACACAAGTTTCTGCTAAGTAGAGAAAAGCTCTGTTGGGCATTTTTCTTACTGCACTGTTTGTCTTTTCTCTTGGCAAACTTATGAGCACCTTCTGACGCTATCTTTGCCTTCAATGGCTTCTATAGAAGATCAATGACCATTGAAAAAAAGCCTCCCTTCTACTCTTGGGTGAGTGTGGATACTGAGAATTGATGATGTTGTGTTTCCCAGGCGCGTAGGGAAACACTATTGGTTTTTCTTTATTTACTATTGTATCATATGATCAGCAAGCAAGCTTTTGAAACTTTCCATGGTTGCTGGCAGGTGTAGGGGAACCTCTTGGGGTTGAAACTGACATAGGAGGGTACAAGGTCATGGAGGATGGTCTCCTTTTGAAGCTGAAGATTTGAGAGATGGAGGGGAGAGACTCTTGGATGTGGTTGTCTAGCTATAGTTTTGTCTAGGTGAAAGGTGGTGGAGGTATTTATAGAGTTTTGAAAAGAATTCTAAAAGAAAATCAATGGTTGGGGTTTAAAGTAATTTTGGAGGGAGGTTGATTGTAGGAAAGGGTTAGCAAGCCAGCCATGTGAGAAATTCTATTAATTAATCAAGAGAATAGATGGATGTATTAGTGATGAAGTCATAAATTTCCCTAAAATGGGTTTTTCAATGTTAGGTGATTGGCTTAATTGATTGTATATTTATTAAGTAGTAAATTTTAAATTTGAAAATTATTTCAGAGGCTGCAAGGAATAAGATATGGTCGTGTGGGTACCTTTGTTCAAAGAAAAAGATTCCAAATAGAAGATTCGGATTGAGTGTGACTGGGTTTCAAGATGGAAGGGTTAAGAGTGTCGGAATTGGACAATACTAGTATTGTTGGATTTGAAATTTCAAGCTCTATGTATCTACAAGATTGGGTTTTTAACTTTATGTGAGATATGATGGTTCGGGATAAAAAAAGATTCTAATTGGACAATTAAATCAGTTTTGGCTACAGGTATTAAGAGGAAGGGTAAATGGTGTTGGATTTGAGTGATCTTGGTATCGTTGGACTTGAAATTTTGAGATCTACATACCTATGATCTTAGATTTCTGACTTAATATGAGATAAGGTTCAATGTCAAAAAGATTATAATGAGATTATCGGAATTAGTTCTAATTTTGAGACTTAAGATGAAAGGGTAAATGGTGCCGAACTTGGGTGATCTTCATATTTTTGGATTTGAAATTTTGTGATCTACGTACCTATGGTATTGAGTTTATGACTTAATGTGGAATAAGGTTCAGGATCAAAAAGATTTCAATCAGATAATCAAAATTGGTTCTAATTTCAAGTCTTAGGACGAAGGGGTAAATAGTATCAGATTTGAGTGATCTTGGCATTGTTAGATTTGGAATTTTGAGATCTATGTACTTATGGTGTCATATTTTTGTTTTACTATAAAATAAGGTTCAGGTTTAAAAAGACATTCATTTGTTGTTGGTTCTAGAACCATCAAATTAATCATGGTTTTAGAACTAGCAAAATCCCCATTTTTTTAAAGACCGTGGAAAATAGCTTTTCAAATACAATCACATGGTTTAGAAAGAAAGTTGATATGGCCAAGTGATTTTACTTATATGTATTTTTACACACACGCGCATATCTTTTAACATTATATATATATATATATGCTATATTTTTACACACACGCACATGTCACCATTAATTAGATGACATATAAGAGAGAACTAAAACTACAACCATGGGTGCTTTCTTTCCATGATCATTAATATCATTAAACTTTGGATCTACATCGATAGACCTTAGAACACCCTCTATTTGGAGTGTTTGATGGAGGAGGAAGGCAACTCTTTGAATGGGGTTGTTCTCTTGAACCACTACCATAGTTTCTTCATCTAACTAATTTTCTTTACTTGCTTAGGAAACCAATGACTGATTTCCAACCCTTTGAATGGAATCATTACACGACCATTGCTCATCACTCCTTGTTGTCATAGCTGCATGCCCTTGGATTGAGAGTGAGTTTTGTCAAATTTCTATCCAATTGCTCATCATTAACGTATTGGATTGTTTACAATAAAAGGGTAAATTGGTAATTTTACTATCCAATCTAACATTTGTTAACGATGTTGGCCTAATCTAGTAGTTATCGAGAGTTCAAATACTGTAGTGGCAATTTTTGGTAATTTGGTTTTCCTTTTTTTTTGCTTGGCTTTTTTTCTTTTTCTTTTCCTTTTTTTTTCTACATGGGCTAGGAATTTGATACAAATGAAATCTTTCATGTAGGTAGTTAAAATAAAATTTAAGATCAATTACAGATAAGTACCCTATACTTTGGGGGTGATGACACTTTAAGGGCTCTGACTTTCAAATGCAACACTTTAGTACCTTGAACATTTCACAATATACACTCAAGTTTAACAATTAGCATTAATTCCATCATTTATCTTGTATTAATCATTTTAAAATCTCAAAATTGCCATTCCTTTCCCATTTTCATTCTCAGATTTGAATGAACTATTCATTAAAGCAACACAATGGTTTGTGCATCAATATTCATTTTCCTTCTTAGTGATAAATGAATAAGCATATATGGTTGTACAGTTCTGTCCCCTTGTTTCTAGCAGCAAATAATGAATTCCTCTCTCTCTTTTGCTATTTCAATAAACAATAGTGAGAGAAATGTGAGACGTGTTTGAAACTAATTCAGATTAAAAAGAAACAAACAAATAATGAATGCAACATCCACTAAAGATGCATTTCCGATCTCAATACAATTTATATATTCTCCTAAATTTTTTATTTAATATGTTTAATTTTTTCAAAAGCTGTGGCATTGATCTTAAATAAATTCATAAATAATGAACACTTTGATAATTTATCATCCACATTAAGACTTGAGTGTATGTTTCAGAGGGTTCAAAGAATTTTCTTGAAAATTCTAGAGACATTAAATGTCTTTATCCCAAAGTATAAGGTAATGTTTTTAGCATATAAGGGCAACTTTTTGGGGTTTAATACGAATAAAAGTAATATATTTAAAAAATCTTAAAAATAGGTTAATTTTTTTAAAAATAATATCAATAAATGGCAAAAATACTATTCATCTTCTTCTTTTTGTTATTTGTTCACCAGAACCGCCATCTGTCGCCACTGCCTCCGCCCACCTCTGCCTTCGCCTCCGGCAATGTTGTCGGAGGTAGAGGTGGCGACGGCGCACTGGTGGTCATTCCTCTGCTTGCTGCCGCCACCACCTCTGTCTCCACCCATCTCCGACAACGTTGCCGGAGGCGGAGGCAGAGGCAGAGGTGGGCGGAGGTGGCGGCGTTGGACAGAGAAACCACTAGTGTCGCCGCTGCCACCTCTGCCTCCGACCACCTCTGACAACATTGACGGAGGTAGAGGTGGCAGCAGGCGACAGCGAACGACAGTGGATGGCAACTTTGGTGAACAGTGTTTTTGCCTTTTATTGATATTATTTTAAAAAAATTAATCTATTTTTAAATATATTACTTTTATTGATATTAAACCCAAAAAGTTGCCCTTATATCCTATTACCCCTTTATTCTAAAATAAAGTACCCACACAGAGTTGAGATGCTTTATAGATTTTATCAGAAAAAGTAAACAAAAATACAACGTAAAAGAGTACAGCGACGGGCACGTCACACTCTTTAGTGATTCCACATTTCCACGCTACTGCACTTCTCCTCGGTAGCAGTGTTTAACATTTTTATTTTGCATTATTTCTAGCTTACATCGTAGATTTTTTTTCTGCAGGAATTTCCAGACGGCTTCGCGTTTATCTGCGCCGATTCGACCGAATCATGTGGGTAGAGGTTATCTGCGGATTGGTGATTTACCGTCTGCTCCGGCGGTTTTTTCACGATGACGATGACTTCGAAATCGAAGCCACCGATTCTGATGCCAAATTCTTGGTTGCAAGCAGGTGTGTGTTTTCGCTTATTGCTCATCTTTAATCTATTTCAAACCATAGTTAACATCAATACAGAAACTATGCAACGAATAATTTTCATTTTGGGTATCTCGAATGTTATGTAGGATCGAGAAACTTTATGGCGGGAAAGTGTACCTGGGACTTAGAATTCCAGACGCCGAAACGGGTTCTCGACAAAATGTCGATATGGTTCTTCTGACGAAAGGGTTAGACATTTTACTCTTCTGGGTTGAATCCTGCGAAGAAATGCAAATGCAATTCCGGTTTTCTACAAGTCTAGTTTTTGTTTTCAGAGAGGCAGTGGTGGTTTCAGTCAAGAATTTCTCCGGTTTTGTGGGAATCGATGATGATGGAAGCTGGGTTTGTACAAGCGAAAACAAACACAAGACAGAGAGGCATCCTGATCCCGTGAGTCGCACTTGTTGGATTATTCCCTGCTTTACTGCTTGATTCAAATATTCTGTTTGTGTTGGTACCGTATACTCGGGTCTGGCACCCGCATGACATGCCGGCTACTATTTGTTTACTCAAAAATATTTTATTTGTTTTGTTTGCTAATTGTTATATGTTTTACCAGGGTAGAATGCTTAAATAAAAAATCTAATGCTAACTGACTTCCTGATATCTGTTTGTGAATTCTCGTTCATTTAAAGACTCCTCTTTGGCCTATACCGATACAGAAAATCGTACTTGAGCTTTTTATTGGTTGAAACAATGGATTGGAGTCAACGTTAAGGATTAAGCAGTTAGATTTGACCACTATAAGATGCCTCAAAGATATAGCTATTGGTCTTTTTCCCAGGGGAGAATATTATATGTTATTTAGTTGTAGTTTACGTTCCAACTGTATTGGATGAAAGAATCATTCTGAAGGATGATCTTGGTTTGAAATGTTGATGATTTCCTACTTGACTGAAATGGGGAAGTATGAAATGCTGAATATAGGTAACGTCGGTGTATTTGTTACACAAGCTCCCAATCTTTGGAACATTAATTACATCTTTTCCTTTTTGGAAAAAAAATTGAACTTCCTATTTGTGAATTAGATTCATCATCATCATCATCATCATCGTCATCTAAACCTTGTCCTAACCTTATGGGGTTAGCTACATGAACCCTGTTTTGCCATTCCTTTCTGTTTAGTGCCACATCCATTGTTAAATTATGAGCTCTTTAGTCATTTCCTACTACTTCAACCCATGTCCTTTTTGGTCTGCTCCTAGTCCTTCTAGCCCCTTCAACTTACAACAAATCACTTCTTTGGGTGCTGTAGATGGTTTTCTATGCACGTGACAAACTATTTTAGTCTACTTTTTCTCAGTTTATTACCTATTGGAGCTATTCCTAGGTTCCTTCGAATGACATCATTTCTAACCCCATCATTTCCAGTTTTTCCACTCATCCATCTCAGCCTGCACCTTTCTGCCACACTAATTTTTTGGACATATTGTTTCTTGACTTCCCAACACTCTGCTCCCTACAGCATTGTTGGTTTCACAACTGTTTTATGGAATTTTGAATTTCCTTTTAACTCAAGTGGTATTCACCTATCGCATAATACTCCAGATGTGCCCCTCCATTTTGCCCATCCTGCTCTAATTCTTTGGGCGACATCCTCCTCAATCTCTTCCTATTTGTGCATTAGATTATTAACTAAAAACTATTTTATGTTTAAAACCTAGAAAGAAAACAGTAAAGGAAAAAAGAACAAGATGCATAATGTATTTGGAGCTATGATGCCGCCTAGATACCAGTATATGCCTGTTGTACTAGTATTGGACAGTATTTGTACTTGTGATAAGATGTCGGGTACTGCATGGACTAGATGTACCCTATAACATTGACACTCTTAAAATATATATGATTGCTATTATTTAATAAATTATACTATAAAAAATTCTGCAGGTGTTAGAAATTTAATTAAATTTGGCAAGACATAAGTATTGAGAAATGACATCTAGCTTCAAAAACAAGATACATGATATGAGCATATCATATGGAATGCCTGTGCCTGTGTTAGTGTTTGGGATTTTAGGAAAATGGGGAGTTGTATCCCCATTTCTTGTACCCATGTCCATGTTGGTATCTGTATCTGGGCATCATAAATTAAGGTTTGAGGTCCAACAATTAAAGAAAATAAAAAAAAAAGTTGTATTGCCAAATATATGGTAATTTTATGAGAAAATGCATAACAGTATGATTTAGATTGATTCTAAATCTCAAATTCTCAGATACGTATTTTAATAAGTCCATGCTTGCTTAATTTCATTTTTTTATTCCAAAGTGTTGGTAGTAGTCATATATGGGTTATAAATGTGTATTTCATGTTGATGTTATCACTTATAGGTTCCTATGAATCAATCCCCGTCTCTAATAACTTTCACAATTAACTTTCTACTGCATGCATCGTAGTTTCATGAAACCTTAGTCTAACTCTGTTGTGTTCTTTGGTTGATCATTTATTGGATTTATTGTGCAAAACAAAGAAATGGAGATCTATCAACCATGTAACTTGATTATCATTTTTATTTTCTTTATTTCAGGTGCTTGAAACCAAACGACAAGTTACTGTTCTTGAATCATACCTGGAGCAAAGGGGAGTAACTTTGCCAGAAGGATATCTTTCTGTCAAGGTTGTACTCCCAAATCGAAATTGCAGGTTTACATAAATACCTTTTTTTTTTCAGTTTTCTTCTTCTTTTTTGTGTTCATGCATGTTGTTGCAGTGAGGTAAGCATGGGGTGAAGCGGGCCTGCCTTGGAAACATTACATTACATGGAAACCAACATCATTCTCTAGCTACATGGATAGCTCTTTTGGTTACTGATTAAGTAGAACAATATTTAAAACATGACCATGGAAACTTCGGCTGTTTTATTGTTCTGTCATGTAGGAATTGGAAAAATTTGATAGTCTGCAGTTCCTTGTATGAAGCCAACAATTCCTTGATTATAGAAACAATGTTTTTTCCTCCAAAGTTCTTTTTGCAGATAATTTGTTCTTAATACCATTACAAGAACCATTAATGCAATTTGGTTCCCACAAGAAATGCAAGCAGTTCAATGTTCAAATTACGATGAATGCAGCAAATCCAAGCTTTGACAATGTTATCCTGTCCTTTTTTCAATGAAATTCTCTCTAGGAAACCCATTCTTGGTGCCAAGAAGCCATGTTCAGTAGATAACCTGGTGGTCACACATGATATTGTTTACACTAATTTTCTTAGTCACTGGTCAACATTTAACCAGAGATGGAGATATGGTTCATCATTCATCATTTGGGAGACCACTCTATTAGGCTAGGAGGGTCATGACATATCATTTCCCCATAAATCCAAGTCTTTTTCTTTGATCAATAACAAAGATACATCCAAGTCTTTTTAAAACTTTGTCCCCATGTCTTTGTGCTGAATCACACCAACACTGGTGCATAATGAAGCTCTTTTTAAGTTGGATGGGTATCAAAGTGGAATATCTGCCTTACGGTGTGAATATTGATTGTGATAACTTTCAATTTCTCTATCACTCATATCATTTTTCATGGAAAAGGGAGAAACTATGGTAAATAGTTTCCATATTTTGCACAATAATGGCCACAGTATTCTTTTAGAAATGATAGCCAAGTTGCTATTTTTTGACCTGTAATAAGATTGGCAATATATAATACTTAAAGAAAAAAAAATTCTTTGTTGCGTGTGGACCTTGCACCATCTTCTGTGTGGTGATGATGTGCCCTAGATGTTGCTTGTGTAGAGAGCAACTTGTGCTGTCATGCTTTTTGGTGTTGACTGTTGAGAACTTGAGATCTAATGGTCAAATCTAATATTAAAGAGAATTATAATTTGTTATTAGGGGTTTAGGTCAGGATGGGTTAGGTTGGGTTCTTGAGGTTATATCTAACCTGAACCAAGCTGTTGAACCCTCAACCCTAAGCCTAACTCAACCCAAAATTTTCGGGTTGGGTTTGGCTTGGGTTGGCTCGAGTTCTCTACTTCCTTTTGCCAAATATCCTTATTTCCTAACTCAAGGGTTGAGGTCAATTCTTACCAAAAAAAAGGTTGAAGTCTGTTAGAGTTAGCCGAATAAGGGTAGATTAGTCAACTCACCTTGGTTAAGTTATGAGCTTATGTGGCAGTCTTATTAG